CCAGTGGATGCCTGAAACAGAGAATTGTACTGAACCCTATATATGCTATTTCTTTCTATACATGTATACCTATGATAAAGTTTAACTTATAAATTAGGCCCAGTAAGAGATAATAGTAACAATAATAAAATAGAAAAATTATAATGTTATATTATAATAAAAGTTATATGAATATGGCCTCTGTCTCTGTCTCTCAAAATATCATACAGTACTACGGGTAACTGAGACCTTGAAACGCAAAACTGCAGATAAAGGGTCAACGAGTACTGTACACACTTGCCATGAAACATTCATTCGTTTGCATTAAGCATAACATTTTTCAAACTCTAGACATGAGTTTAGTGAAAATTTTCCAGGTGGATTAAACTTAGAAGTAATTGTTTCAGAATTGATTTCAAGATTCACAGGAACCATTGAGTTGAAAAACGAAAAAAGAGAAAAGGAATTCCTATATTGAAATAGTTCATAGACTGTTGGGAAATATGAGAGGGGTCAGAGAACGAGTCCTTCACTGTCGAACATTAAACCTGAGTCTCAGGCTGTAGTTATGTGGAGTTAAGGTTTCCAGTGGGCCAGGGTAATGCTGTCCACTGATTGTTGACTTGGAACATGCTATTTCTAAGTGAGGGAAATCACCACCAGAAAACAGTGAGCCACAGGAATCAAATGTATTTCAAATAACACAAGGCCTCTGTACATAAAGGAATAGAATGTCCTCAAACTGTGAAAATATGCTATTTTGTTTAGAGGTGGGGGAAAATCTATATGATAATTGTTTTTTTTTCTTTTTTCTTTTTGTTTTTAATGACTCCTTTGGGTCAAAGCCAAATGTGTAATTTTCCCAGTAGAGTTGTTTCCATTGTCTAAAGCTTTTGATCCTGTTTAGTTGTGCTTGATCAAGTATTTTTACAGGAAAATATTCTCTGTATTCCCTCCCTGCCTTGTAAACTTGAAACAATAACATCTTAATACTATCTCTGAAACTTGCAGAATTTCCTAACTCAAGCCTTTAGTCACCTTCCTTATTTTGGAAATGATCACTCACAATTGACTAATTGTGCCAAATAAATTTTGATTCCCAGACTTCTTATTTGAGTTCTCTGATAAAATATTGTGGGGAAAAAAGCTGCCATTCCAAAATGGAAAGAAATGCTATGCACTTTTGTAAACAAGTATTGAAAAATGATCTTAAAAATACCTTTCTTTTTTGATATTTTGCCATAATTGTTTCTTCTGCATCTTGGTTATTTTCTTCATAATAAATTAATTATAAAATAGTCAAAGTTTAACCATTCTCATTAACTTAGGTGTTCAAATTTATTTTGACCTTTTAATTTTATCGCACCTCTATCTGTCTCTCTTTTTCTCTGCGTATGAATAATGTGTATAAATATATATGTATGTATCTGCATACATTTAGCTTTTGAATCGATGAAGTAAATCAATTATGGTTCATTATATATAATTTTAAAAACTAATATGAAATAGAAGAAAGGCTTGTGGCAAGAAATGGCTTATAGCTGTGTTCATTCCACATTGAAAACTATCAGACAACAAAATATGAGATGAACTAAGGAAAACTCTTTCACATCTCATACATCATTCCTCTGGGCCCACATTTTCTAGTCTCGTCCCAATCCAGTATCAGGTACATGAGTCATGACTCAGAACAGATATGGGAACACCTTCATTTATCCCTACAATCCATCCATCCATCCATCCATCCATCCATCCATCCATCCATCCATCCATCCATCCATGTATCTGTCTATCCATCCATCCATCCATCCATGTATCTGCCCATCCATCTATCCATCCATCCATCCATCCATCCATCCATCCATCCATCCATCCATGTATCTCTCTATCCATCCATCCATCCATCCTGCCATCCATCCATTCATCCATCCATCCATCCATCCATGAATACATCCATCCCTCCATCTTGTTTGCAAGACCTGATAAAACAGGAAGGTTTGAAAGCCACCCAAGAATTTCAAAGATAATTTGTGGAGTCTCTAGGGAAAGCAAATCAAAATGGACCTGGTTGTATAACAGACCTAAACTTCTCCATTCTATAGTTTGTTCAATGTGCTCCTTCCCAAATAATGACTTTCACCAGGAAATGTTTAGGGAATGAACAGAAAAAAGACAGATGTGACATTAATCTTCTATCAAAACACAAAATTCCCTAAAGCTTTCCTGGGACTGTATCAGATAACTAAATATAGACTGAAAACTGTTTCTGCCCCACCTGCACATCAAAAACAACAATAAAAAAGGGAAATCTTTTGTATCATCACAGACTATGATCACCTAGGAGAGCTCTCAGTTATGTATGCTCATTCCAGACACATTTGTGTTAATAAAAGCCCCCATCTTACGTAAATTCCAAATAACTTCAGTATATTTCTGGCCCATAAAGGCCTGGGTTTCAATAAGAATAAGAATGTTGCAGTCATTAAAATGATTAAATGTAGTAACATTAAAAAGATGTATTTTCCTCTCTGTAGTACTTTATAGCAGTCATTTCAAGTTACTAAGACCAAGGGATTCTAATAGAAGGTGGCAGAGAATGTAGTTAAGTATCTTGGCTCTGAAGCCTGACTACCTAGGTTTAATTCTGGTTATTCTACTACTAATTGTGTGATGTCAGGAGTAAGTCACTTAATTTCCTTGTACTTCAGTTTCTCCATCATTAAAAGAAAATAATAATAATAATAATAATAGAACCCATACCTCATAAAGTTGCTGTAAAACAGATAGTTCATAAATAGTTATTATACAGTCTGACTTAAATGCTAGGCATTACTATTATTTTCATTTTGGAGAGAAATCCCTGTGGAGGGAGATTTGGAACTTGATTTGGTATATTTCAGTATGCTGTAAGTTGCTGTGAATAAATATTACTAATCCTATCCCACTAGTGAAATGACTCAAGCAAAGGGAGACTAAGTGACTAATTTGAGTATCTCAACTAAATTAAGATGGAATTAAAGCCCAACAAACCATCTCCATAGCTTTCCTACTTGGGTTTATCTCAGGGGGATATGCATTACAAATCTCAGCACTTATAACAACAGACTGTCCTGGTGAGTTCAAAATGCTTCATCTACCTTGATGTTCCCAGTATCACTAACATTTACTAAGCACCTATGGGAAGTATGGGACCGTCATCTAGCATCACAGTGTTTCCCTACTCTGTAGATAGAAAAACAAAATCAAAAGAAGACAAGGGCTTCATTGTCACTTCCAAAACTAGAGGTTTTCTCTGATATTACAAAGAAGTGTTGATTCTTCCCACTGCACTCCTTATAGCCCGGGGTTTTGTCACATAGACCACATGCTATCTCACTGCATTTATATTTAGCAAAGATTGTAAAAGATACATGCCTATTAATTCCATCTGTTTACCTTCATCTCCTAATGATCATGTAGTAGATTTCTATAGTTCTTGGAATCAAAGCAAACATGAACTTTATTACAAAGCAGAGCTAGGATTTATTCATAAGATAGCATGATGATAAATTCCACTTATCTCTTGAAACTATACATTGCAGCACAGGATATGAAGATAGCATACACTTTTCACAAGAGTTATATTTTTTATTAAAATAAATGGTGATCATGTTATGAATTTTTAGGCATAAAGAATAACTTTTATTAATATCACCAAAACAAGAAAACTTTTAATTGTCTTCTAAATCTTAAGAGTTAAGAGATTTTAAAGCAAAGTTTTATTTTCAAATCTATCATGTTCACTGGTATAGCAGAACATATGTCATTAACTTCTCTAATTGTGAAAAGTCATCTTTTTCTCTTCTCATAGCTCTGAAAAAGAGTACAGTTATATAAATATAAAATAGCAGTTCAATTCTAACAGAAAGGATTGGAAGTTCATTGGTTGTTTACATTTTTCTTTTTTCTTTTTCAAAGGTAAGCTTTGGAGAAATCTCTTTTTGCTAATCACTTTCAACAAATACAGTGTATCAAAACAATCTACCATACCACCTCCAGTTTTGAAAGATACAAAATCTACCACTGTCCTTTAAGCATTTGTACTTTTATGGCTCAATTCCCAGAGTAAAGATTTGGACACTTGTACTGTGGCAATAGCTAAGAAATTGCAAAAGTCAGATGTTACATTTTGATAATCACTCCACAAATCCATGCTCCATCAAACTAGACCAAACAGAGAATCCTTAGCCCACAAAACCTGCAAAGGAAGCAGTATTCTCCAATTTGGAATACCGTATTCTCCAATTTAAAATACTGCCTTCGAATATGTTTGGAAGTTGAAATAATTTCAATTTCTACTCCAAAGAAGAGGAGAATCATGACATACCTCCCATCAGCTCATTAACCCCTTGACCTTTGCAAAAACATGAATTATTGAATATATATCTAATGAAAAGTAATTTCCATGTTTTAGTTAGAATCTAGCAACTTTGCAGTGGTTATAATTTTGAATAGAAATGAAGCAATCGCCAAGCATGATAGTAAGTCAATTAAGAAGTACCAAAGTATTCATAATGCCAGCCATTAGCAGACACATTTTTGAAAACCTCAAGTCATTAATATCTTGCTCATTCAGTTATAGCTCTCGAAACCAAGGAATTTAAAGGCCTTAAATATGAGTATGCAAAGTTATGTGGATACCAAATACCACTTTAAACACTGATTTGATGTTATTTCTTCAACCAATATAAAGCCAAGACAATATTCCTGTGTCACCCCAATCTTTGAATTAGCTTTAAAAGCAAGCTTAAACAATTTGAAAAATAAACCTCTCATTCATTCTCTATCCACAGATTTCTCTAGCCACACAATTCGTATGACTGCCTCCAACAGCAATTGAGAAAGTAGGCAGTGATAAACAAACTCATACAATTTTAAAACAAACAGAATAATCAGAAGTTTCTAAGTATGCTTGCCTTTCACTTAAATGGAAAGCCAAATGTGAAGGGTCCAGAGGCTTTCACTAATTTTCCACTTTAAACTTTCTAATAATTACTAAGCCCACTTTTTATTTCAATAGAAAAATATAATTATTGAGCTATAATTATTCAAAGATAATCATATAAATCTGATACATGTTTCACCTTTAACTGAGATCATAGGGTAGCAAAAGAAATATAAGAAAATAAGAACCTGACAACTACTAAATCCTTTAAAAAAAAAAACAAACCAATATAAAGCTACTACAATGTTTCCATTTCTCAGGCACTATATTTTTCATTAAAAATGATCATAAAAGGAATATCAATGTATTATACTATGTATCTCACAAGTAGATTATACCGTAAATTAAAAATTATCTGTATTAGAATCCCAATGCAACCTTCAATACCCCGTGAGAAGGCATTTTTTCTAAGGTACAATCATATACCTAAACTGCCACATTAAGGCTGCCACAATCCAATGAGTAAACCAAAATACGTTACTTACCTTATTACAAATAAATGGCAAATTGCAGGCACTTTTCAGCTTGCAGCTGTCTAGCATAGTTGATTAGAAATGAACAAAACATCTTTCACTCCAGTGAGAGAACTGCATATTTAGACTTGCCTTTCTTCACTGAATACTGGCAAAAGGGGCTGTTCACCTCCAAGTGATAGCAACAGCCCTGCACGGAGCACTTGCTGCTCTGCACAGCAGCGACTTGGAATGAAAGTAAGAAGAACCCGTGATGTTTAAATAACGTAGCTTTAGATTCACAGGATATGACTCAACTCTCAAACCAGTAGGGGAAGAGTTTCCCATTGCAAAACTGTTAGTACAGATTACATAACAAACATCATATCTGGGGTCCTAAAATACTCACATTAAATATTAAAAACTTCACCTGCTAAATCAAACGTGCAGTTTTAGTAGCCAACCTCTTCCCCATGGCAAAAGCCACAACAGGAAATGAGAATAACAACACTGCACAAAGAAAACTAGTCTGCTTGTTCTCTGCAGTGAATTAATTTAATGTTATTAAGGGTGTGAGAACTTGCCAACATCTCCCAGAAAGACATGTAAAAAAAAAAGGAACACTTAAGTCACTAACATTCCCATCAGTATGAAAACAATTGTAGAAGAAAATTCTGTTTTAACATGCAAGAAGTGGCATGCTTTACTAACACAATAGAATCTCCTTCAGTAAGTAGAGAATGGAAATAGATCATGCTTTGCTGCTGCTGTTTCCCACAGAAATCCTTTCCGACGCTGTCATTACCTTGTGCTGCTAGCTCTGCCTACCTCACCAACTCAGAGTCCCCTTTTATTTGTTTTGTGAACCCTTCTAAAGGAACACGACTAATGATACAACTCCTCTAGTAAATGTGGCAATTTTACATGCTTTCTCCAGCACATGTTATACCTTAACCCTGAGTTGTAGTAAGCTTGATCAATATTGAGTTATTATATTTGGATACCTCGGTCAATAAATATTATAGACATAGATGCTTGGAGAAAAGTCTACTACATAAATTCACTTGCCATCAGCCTCTTCAAGGAAAAAAAGCTGAAAAAGTCCATGTTAATAACAGTAAGTAGGCTGAAACTAACTAGAACACAGCTGTTAGACATATAAAGTGAAGCATACATGTAATTTAAAATATTTTAGTAGTCACATTAAAAAAGTAAAGAAACATTAATTTTAATAACGGTTACCCTAGTATGTCTAAAACATCATCATTTCAACATGTCATAATTATAAAATTATTAAATGTTTTATCATTTTTGTACTAATGTTGGAGATCCAGGATATGTTTTGCACTCGTGTTACATTTCCACTGGAGCTAGCCATATGCAAGTGTTCAATAGCCACACATGGCTAGTGGCTACCATATTGAATAGCATAGGCCTGGGGTTCAAGGTTCATTTTCAGTCTTCAGGTGGTGGTTCAAATATTCTCTTTCCAGAACATTTAGGAAGGTCTTCCCTGACTACCTTCCCTGAAGTAACCTTTTCCAATTACTTTCTATCAGATGATCTTTTTTATTTCCTTTATAGTACATCACAGTTTAAAATGTTCTTTATTCATTTGTTTACCTATTTATAGTCTGTGGTCTCTAAAAAGAATGTAAGAAACCTGAGGGCAGGAATTTTGTTTCAACAGGCTATTGATATGGTCATCAATACATAGCAGAATTTAATCAAAAAATTATTTAATAAATGAATAAAATATGGATTTTTTGCTATGTTTTGGGAAATAATATAAAATTAAGAAATATGTTCCTCATATCACTGAATTTTCAGCAAATACACTGAGCAACACTTTCTTGAATTGAGAAATTGTCCCCTTTTTAGAATATTAATGATCTTTCATATATAACATGTTTCATTATCATATGCAATGCTGTGAAACAACATACTCGTTTCATTACTCTAGCAAATACTTAGAACACTTTAATCCCAATGATGTAAATCTGGACACCATTAGGATGTCTATTTATCTCCTATTTACAAAAACGTAAAATCATTGCATACTATGCACAGAGCTACAACGCAGGGGTCAAGGATGGGCATGTGACCCACGCTGGTCTAGTAAGCATGCCAACCTCTCCACTTTTGCTAACATTGAGAAAGAAGTTAAGTTTGTAGAACATTAAGAGTAGAACTGCTGGTTGTTGTATCTGCTACCACATTGTCTAAAAATTGTCTAAAAGAGGTTGTCTAAAAATGAGGCTGATGATGAGAAAAACAAAGTCACATACATGAAAGGCAGATTCCTGATAATACTACTGTAATTACCAGATACTGTTATGCATTAAGTCACATTTGCCCTTTACTGCAATGATGAATATACTGGAATGTTCACTGGAGAATTATAGTAGTCAAAACAGGAAACCATGCAAGGAGCCCTAAACAGTGGAAGAGTTAAATAAATAACGGGTTAATCATACTAAGGAATACTACATAGTTATTTTCTTTTAAAGAATCAGGTTATCTAGATGCACTGAGATGCATAGCTCCCTAAAAGATATTAAGCAGAAATAACATATTGTAGAAAAATATATTATCCCAGTTATGAGTATATACATTTTTATATGCATATTCACAGAAAAGGGCCCAGAAAACTGCACACCAACTGTGGACACATGGTTAGGTCTGGGAAAGAAATTTGAAGTAAGGAAGTGATGGGGGACAAAGGGAGATCAATGTTTTGCTCAGTTTATTACCTCCTGCATAAATCTTGTAAAATAAAAATGAATTAATGTATTCCTTAGGTATTTGAAAAGAACATGTTACATTTAAAAATATTTTAATATTTTTTATTTCCATATTTTGGTACATTGTACTCACTAAGTGGACTACTCTCCTTTACTATTTTTTAAAACAATGTAATAGAAATGATGGTGCTCTTTTCTGTCCCACTCTCCATTCTTTACCAGCCCCAATTTATGAATACTCCAATTTTTCAGTCTGGTTAAAGTGAATGCCAAAGACAGAAAAGAGAAAAAGAAAAGGCAGAGAGAGACAGAGACAGGAAGCTGCATTAGAATCTCCAATGTACCTTCTAAAACTGGCCAAGGTCTTCGGGTGTTTTTTTTGTTTTGTATTTTTGTTTTCTCCTGTTGGCCACCTGCAAGCAATTTTATTGGCTTTATAAAATACAGCTTGGATTTATTCAACTGCAAACATATCAACAGTCCAATGTTTATAATAATATGCTTTATATTAATTTAGTCTTGGATCAGAGTAAACAAACTTTTTTATTAACAGCTCACTGAAACATTTCAGGCTTCTGAATTGGGTATAACAATTGCTTTCCTAATTAACTCAAAATCTAAACCTTTTGTTGCTTTTTCTGGCTTGCTCTAGTCCTTAAATCTTCACATTTTTTAGGCATGCTCCTCACATCTTCTGCTTTTGTATTCCCTTAGATTTCCACAGTTTCAACCCCTTTTTAAAAATGACACAGCTGAAGGTGCTTAGAGTCTGAAGCAAGAGTAAGGGCTGTTTGACTTTTAGTATGACTAATGAGGATCTGAATTTATACAGTGTTGACAAACTGATGCCTGTTTGGCTCTATTTTATTCTCTAAGCCCACTGATCCTAGTAACTTAAACCTCCTACATGGTCTGTTGACACCCTCCTTCCATTCTCCTTGCCTCTACTTAAAATTATGCCAAATTTGCTTCCGATTTTCTGGAAGAAGTAAACCATTATATTATTAGACACATCTAAAACCTCCATATATCTTTACCTATCTCATCCTTTCTTCTCTCTCCAAAAGTAAACGCCCTCCTGGGTTGGCTTGTATCATTACTGTATATCTTTTATAATACATTTTATTATAATACTGTATACCTTTTATAATACTTTTTATTAGATATGTGTATATCCATAAACAAGATATTATTTTGCATGTTTTATTCTTTATACAAATATAATAGTGTATAGATCCTTTAAATCTTTCTTTTTTGCTTAGCATTATCTTCTTAAGATTTACATGTGGTTCTGCTTAGTTTATTCATTTTAACTGCTGTACAGCATTCCAATTTATGTATCCATTCTCCTATTAATAGACATTTAAGTTGGTTCTAATTTATTACTGTTATAAAACTATTATAATTCTTGTACACGTGCATGTATTCGTTTAAAGGTGAATATCTAGGAATGGAATTGTGGGGTCATACGATATGTACACCTTCACCTTTACTAGATATTTCCAAACTGCATCCCAACATAACTAGGCTAGTTTACAATTCAACCAACAGTGTATAAGAATTTTTGTCACACCAAACTCTTGTAAACAATCTCCATAGTACTGATGATCCAAGATGCTGAAATACCAAGGGTCTTGATATTTCTGTTTTTTGTTTTTGATTGGTATCAAGTCTCAATGTTTTAATTTGGATTTCCCTGATTACTACCAAAGTTCAGTATTTTACCTTCTTATTGGCCTTTGTTTCTATTGAGTTATTTGCCTTTTCCTGACAAATATTTACGAGGTCTTTGTAATATTTTAAATATTACGGTTCTATTCCTTTGTCAATTATATGAGTTATAGATATCACCCTTCTGTGTATATTTTTACCATTGTTTATAATGTCCTTTGCTGTTTTTTATTTTTAAATTTGTGGTTTAATTAAAAAAATTATTTTTTCTCAGTTATTTACCTATAATTCTTGAGTCAAAAATATAAAAATTAAATGTTCTTTGGTCATTATTCATGAAGCATTACCAACAATAATGTTAGATTGCGTATCTAAAGGGGAACTGAGAAAAATTTATATTTCTTCTGAGTAGTTCAATTAATCCTTACAGGGTAACTGCTATGTAACTCACACAGTATTAGAGGTTTCAAACATGAAGCAGACCATAGAATCAATACATACATTTATGGACTAATTGAAGAAAAAGACTTGCAGGCAGACTGATGATGATGATGATGATGATGATAATGAAATGGAGAAGTAACCATGTGCCAGAGGTTGTGCTGATGCATTATTTAATTTTACAGTAGTGTAAATAAGATGGAGTAAATGTTAGTGTAAGAAATACAAACAAGATGCTGTGGATACAGAGAGAAGAGAATATGTTATAACCTTGCATCCTAAAGATCATTCAAGATACAAAGTTGTCAAATTTGAGGTAGTATGAACCTGTGAGATATAGTAAGACCTTGAAATGACATTTCTATCTTCTCAAGTCAATCTATTTTCCCAAACCAATAACTCAGAGATTAGCTGTCACTTATTTAGAAAATTGGTAAGAATTAAAGTGGGAACAAGTTATTCATTTGAAGAAAAAAATGCTTTCTTGAGAGACAAGTTCATTTTTTACAGTCAGTGATCAAATCACATAATGAAATTTTCTCCATTTATTAGAGATGGTGAAAATTTAAAAGCCTATAGTTCTTAGGAATCCTAACAAATGGTGCATATATCTTCCTGT